TGCGTGCTGCAGTCCGCTCAGTGTGCACGCTGCACTGAGCTCAGTGTGCGCGCTGCACTAAGCGCAGTGTGCGCGCTGCACTAAGCGCTCGGTGTGTGCGCGCTGCAGTGTGCCCAGTGTGTATGCTCTGTTGGTGATGTATGTATACTTATGTGTTTTCTATTTGAACTTAAATGTACTGGATCAGGATTGATGTCTAACCATGAGGCATAATTGATTAATACGTGAAATACAGTTGGAGTCTTGTGTGGAGTATTGGAACTTGTAAGATTGTCTTTAATCTAACCTTTGATAATGTCTCTGGACATTGGCTGGTGTATGAATCCACATAAATACTATGATGAAAATGGTGTCAAACACGTGGTCATACATATTGTAGGACATAATCATGGCATCACCTGCATGAATAACAAAAAAATACACTGAGCAAAGTGCAGCGCGCACACCGAGCGGACTGCAGCGCGCACACTGAGCTCAGTGCAGCGCGCGCACACTGAGCGGACTGCAGCGCACACACGTAGGTCTGGCCCTGAGTGTGCGCGCTGCGCTGCGCTCAGTGTGTGCGCGCTGCACTGAGCTCAGTCTGCGCGCTGCACTAAGCTTAGTGTGCGCGCTGCAGTGTGCCCAGTGTGTATGCTCTGTTGGTGATGTATGTATACTTATGTGTTTTCTGTTTGAACTTAAATGTACTGGATCAGGATTGATGTTTAACCATGAGGCATGTATTGATTAAAAGCTGAAATACAGTTGGAGTCTTGTGTGGAGTATTGGAACTTGTAAGATTGTCTTTAATCTAATCTGGAATAATGTCTCTGGACACTGGCTGGTGTATAAATCCGCCTAAATATTATTATGATAATGGTGTCAAACCCGTGGTCATATTGTAGGAAATATTATCAATCATGGCATTACCTGAATAACAAAAAAATACACTGAGCAAAGTGCAGCGCAAGCACTGAGCGGACTCCAGCGCGCACACTGAGCCCAGTGCAGCGCGCGCACACTGAGCGGACTGCAGCGCACGCACATGTAGGTCAGGCCCTGAGTGTGCGCGCTGCGCTGCGCTCAGTGTGTGCGCGCTGCACTGAGCTCAGTGTGCGCGCTGCACTGAGCTCAGTTTGCGCGCTGCAGTGTGCCCAGTGTGTATGCTCTGTTGGTGATGTATGTATACTTACGTATGTGTTTTCTGTTTGAACTTAAATGTACTGGATCAGGATTATTTATGTCTAACCATGAGGCATTGTTGATTGAAATACAGTTGGAGTCTTGTGCGGAGTATTGGAACTTCTAAGACTGTCTTTAATCTAATCTGGGATAATGTCTCTGGGCACTGGCTGGTGTATAAATCCGCCTAAATATTATTATGATAACGGTGTCAAACCCATGGTCATATTGTAGGAAATATTATCAATCATGGCATTACCTGAATAACAAAAAATTCACTGAGCAAAGTGCAGCGCGCACACTGAGCGGACTGCAGCGCGCACACTGAGCCCA